CTGCCAACTAGTGGTCAGAGGCTGAACTACAACATAAAAATGAACGGCTGGCAGGAAAGTTGACATTTTAAACCTTTATAAAAAAATCGATACAGGGCTTTAGAATATCAATACAGTATCGGGAAATGAAATATCGTGATATTTCAGTGTATCGATATTTTCTTACACCCCTAGTAGTAACTGAGCACCATCTCAAACACATATTCGGAGCCCTACACAATGTTGGCTCAACTCTTTGGCATTGACCCTTTAGCAAAARATTTATCAAACCACCAAACAGATTTCAATAAAGCTTTCAGGAAGTAATAATGTTTTTARAACAGACTAACGTCTGGAGTTCAAGATGGCCGTCATAGCTAATCCACCTCAGCCAGAGTATAAATGTCCCCAAATTAAAAYTTTAATTGACTAATTTTATACTYAAGTTTGATGTGGTAGTAGCTGAGAGTCATCCTCAACATCTCATAAGGTCACGTTTTGTCTCCAGGCTTTAACCAAACAGCTGGAACACATCCAGAACATTTCAATTTAAAACTAAAACACCGGCAAGCTGCAGGTTGATCATTTTCCATGTTAGTAGAAAAGCATAGTTACCAGTGATGCACTGACCACTCGACTGCTCGCCTCCGTAGCGTTTGTGAGAKGGAGCGTAGAGGAACATGATGGCAAAGACGTACAGATTCCACATGCCATAAATGCCAGTGAAGAAGGCGCTGTTCACCTGCACCGTGTGATCTCCCCAGTGCCAGTGACCCTCATTCACCTGGACATGAAAAAAAATATGTTTTCCACACAACACTGCTCGGATGTTATTAAACTAAAAGCTGATTTTTTATTCTTTTTTTTTTCATCAGAGCCAGCTATCAAAGAGCTGATGAGACTCACCTGACTGATGATGAAGAAGATGACAGTCATGGCAGCGCAGAACAAGGTGACCAGCATCAGAAACTTGAACCTGAAGATAAGACCCTGCAGTGGACAAAAATGGAATGACTTAGGACCACCCCACTACTGAAACCAGGCACCGATCCAACACTCAGCTCAGAGGTGCAACTTTGTTTTCAGTTCAGCTCAGAAAACAAACTGAAACCTCACCTGAGCTGTTCATGACAATATAGCCAGAAAAAAAAAAACTAGAGAAAAGTACAACTTTTCAGGATCACCCAAAAGAAAAAAAAATACTTGACAAAAGGTCCTGGTGCATCTCAGTAATCCAGGTAAAAAATCAAAAAGAAAAAAATTGTATCGGTCTTCTGGACGGGTTCTTCTCTAA